AGTGTGGACGTGAAAGATTTTACGGCTGGTAGATTGCCACCCTTACCCAAAGATGGCTGCGTTGCAGAAGCGCTGTCTGTATTTGGTTTGTAAAGCACTTTGGGATCTTTCGGGGGGGAGGATGCTATGTAAATGCAAAATAATATTCATTCTTTCAAAGTAATGCCCTGCGTTCTGAACGTTGAAGGCAGTTTGAGCTGTCACTCGGAACATAGTGACATACCGCCTTTGCCCACACAGTCCCTGCGCTTTCAGACTAATTATTTTGTAAAAAGCTTTGAGAGACTTGGAGTATGAAAGGCATTTCATAAAACTAGTCTCTATTCCACCCACTCACGGGCTCATTCTGTACGGCGCTAAGCATCCTCAGTTCTTACTTTCAGTGGGAGATAAGGGAGCTCAGCACCTTTCAGAGGAAGCACACAACCTTGTATGGTTAGGCTTGTAGGCGTTTGAGGAAGAGATGGAAATTGCCCATATCAACTTGTTCAGTTTTTTCTTTTTTTTTTGATTCTATGACTCCTTTGCATCACTATTAGGGCCCTGATTTTCATCTCCTTTATGTACCCACCCGTGAGAGCCAGCATTGTTACTGTCCCTCTGGTGAAGGAGAACAGGCCAGGGCTGCTTTAGAATAAGAACATCTAGGTTTTACAAGAGCACCGATTTGTCAGCAGCCAGAGGGCTGCGCCCAATTTGCGTAACTTACCTGCAGCTTCAAATAGTCTGTAAAACTGACTGTGTTTTATTTATAGTAGCAAGTTCATCACAGCTCAAATTGTGAAGCTGTGTGCCAAAGTGTCGTATTCTGAACCTGCCACTGAAAAGTGTGCCAAATTTGGATACCCTGGTTTTGAAGGCCGGGGAGAGCACCTATGGATTTGCCAATGCTGCATGTGTGAAAGATATAAAACCTCGTTTTTCCGCAGGGGATGGGATAGGCCTGTGGGAGTGGCTGGAGAGGAATGTGTGTTCCTGTCGTTGAAGATCTGGCAGCGAGGAGAGGCGTGGGTGTTTGACAACCAACTATCTGTGCGTCTTCCTCTGTCCTCTGGGTTGCTTCTCCTTCTTCTGCTAGAGCAGCCCCATCCATTGGCTGACCTGTCATTTTGGAAATGTATCGTGTTGCAAAGGTTACTCCTGTTGCCATGTTTTCATAGGGTGGAACTGCACTTTCCAAAAGGTGCCGCTGTGCAGGACAGTCAGAAGTAACAACACAACGTTGCCAAAATCCATTCCGTTTCTAAGGTGCACAGTAGACACCCCCACTTTTAAATGCCGTCCCTTTTCCACGCTGCCTGAGAAGCAATGTCACGTTTGCACACGCTGTGAGCAATATGACTAACTTGGCAATAGCCAGCAGAAAACATGTATAACAGGACTTTGGAAACAGATTATTACAGGGGTGAGCAAACTATGGCCTGGGGGCTGCATCTGGCCCTTCAGACATTTTAATCCGGCCCTCCGGCTCCCGCCGGGGAGCAGGGTTTGGGGCTCGCTCCGGTCGGGGAGTGGGGTCGGGGGCTTGCCCTACTCCTTGTGTACTGTGGCTCCGCGCAGCTCCCGGAAGCAGCTGCATGACCCCCCTCCGGTTCCTACATATAGGGGCAGCCAAGGGGCTCGCCACTGTGCCCCCGCCCCAAATGCCGCCCCCGCAGCTCCCATTGGGGCAATGGGAGCTGCAGGGGCGGCGCCTGCAGACGGGGCAGCGTGCAGAGCTGCCTGGCTGTGCCTCTGCGTAGGAGCCGAGGGGGGACATGCCGCTGCTTCTGGGAGCCGCTTGAAGTAAGCGCTGCCTGGAGCCTGCACCCCGACCTCCTCCCATGCCCCAGCCCATATGCCCCTCCTGCTCTCCGAACCCCTTGATCCCAGCCCAGAGCATCCTCCTGCACCCCAAACCCTCATCCCCCCCGCAGAGCCAGCCCCCCCAGTCAGACCCCTCATCCCCTCCCCCCCCTCGCCCCAACCGCCTGCC